CCATGCACTCACCTGCATATCTCGCTGTTCAAATATAGCTTCTAAAGTCTCATTTCTCTCAGCCAGAGAGAGGTTTTCTTTCTCCATCTGTGCAAGTCTGTCTTTCAGCTCTTTATATTCTGTAGGATTCACAGCACTGATTGTAGTATTAACAGCAACAATCTCCAGTTGTTGTTTTAGTTGTGCCACTTCTAATTTCAGCTACAAGAAGAAATTATCAAAATTAATTTTTTTAGATTTTTATTTGGCCAAGTGATTACGAACATTATCCATTACAAGCTAAGTTGTTGACTGTTTGCTTTGATTGTCTATTAGATTGAGAGTGAATATATTTGGAACAAAACAGAATGATCAAATCAATATGTTACGTACACACTAGTATACCTGACCAGTTAACACTGTTAGCTTATGTGTGAAATAAAACTATTAAATTAAAAAATTAAATTATTAAAATAAATTCTTTTGAAAACTTATTATTTGCTATCTGGCAATTAATACAAATAGATAAATTGAAAAGGAAATATACTGTTAAACACCTAAAATAGTTACATGCCATTTTAGCGCATTGAACTCCATGCATGAATTTAAAGAATCTTAATATAGCTAAAATGTCAAATATTTCATTGTGAGAATAACCTTTTAAATTAGCTACATAATAACAAAATTAAAGATTAGCTAAAATAATTTACATGCTAGAAAAAACAAACATGTTTTACAGTATCTTTATCAGTATTAGTTTGACTGTGGAATTGACAATAATTGACCCAAATAGTTCTGATAATGATCTTATGATACACACAGCAAAACAGTCAGCACAATACTGCTACAAAATTCCAAGGATTTCACACACTATCAACTGCGGGGGAATAATTTCAGAATTGTGAAGCCTTGGAATAACTTTGATTTAACTGGTCATAAAAATAATATGCGAACTGCCAGAGACGAATGCCCCTTAACTTCATCACCCACGCCCACCACAGAATTTCCGAGTCTTATCAATAATTCCAAATGTGGCCAGTGCGTCACAATAATCACAAGTCAGTTAAAAACAGAAAATACTTTTCAAATAAAATGATCTTGTTTCCTTTTTAGGAATGTGCTTTGTGTATTTAGAAGAATCTCATGTAATGGATTCCTTTAAAACAATTAGCGAGGACATACTTAATGGCAAATGATACAGAATGAACATAAAGCAATAATTGAATCAAGTCTATGTCTGGTTTAGCCATGTGATTGGGTGTAATACCTTTGCAGCAGCAAGTCTAGCAGCACCTCCTTCTTCAGTGACATCCTTTATTTCAATCTGGTGAAACAAACAAGATTATTCAGTAGGCATCAAAGATTAACACATGCATTCATGTACAACCAATGTCACACAATATTGTTGGTTCTTTACAGAATATACAGTATACCTATCAAAGTGATTCAGATCTAGGGTATTTTGCAACTGAAAAACAAATCACTGTTTTGTGAGGTGATAAAAATGTATTATTTAAGTTGCTCAGTTTATTAGGCAACAACAAGTCCAACTTTAATTTCATTATCGTCATAGTTCATTTCATATACATGTACATGTAATTATTTTGTTCAATTTTGAAAAAAAGTCATGCCTGCATGATTTTTTTTCTCTGTTTTCATTTTGGTTAGTTTTTATTGCTTTGTAACCATTTCCACCACTCTGAGTAAATAAATAAGTGTTTTATAATA